GTATATTTGCTGCAAAGGAAATTAGAAGCTTCTTTATTTGGATTCTTTCTTTCTGTACTGCCTTCCCCTCCCTCCCTCCCTCCTTCCTTCTGCAATGAGTCCAGGCTAACTCCATGCTTGAGCCTCCCTCCTTGCCAGGTTGGGTGCTTCCCAATACACATCTAGGATTTTGGAGGAACTGAAACCTCTCTCTCAGAAAAACCATAATTAACAGAGCCATAAATGAGTTAAAGGCTTTTGGCTTTCTGGTTATGTTATTACCTTCACAAAATGTGAACCAACTGAGAAAATATAGTGTTCCTTCAAAGGCCCATGTCAACATTTCAGAATTTGCTGTGGACATCATCATAAAATAATAACTATAATTGATGTGAGAGCAAAGCAGCCATACATCTGATCCCTCAAACCATAGGAAAAGACATCCAATCAATTTGCAGAAAGTAAACTGAGATGGTAAGTTGATGAGGCTCCTGGCCAATTAATTTGTCATACCAGTCACTCATATACATTTCAGACAAAACAAAATACTAATCATGCCCTGTTTCTCCCAGGTTGTTCCCAGCTACCCTAGGGTTACAGAATGTCTTCTACTACCTTTGGGATTTCTACCAGTTTATGGTGTAGTCCCATTTTTCTTTTTCTTGGCTCACTGTTGCAATGTTTTCAAGAGAAGCCTGCAGCTGATCCCTATTTTTCATTTACCAAGAATGCATCTGGTTCCACATGAAGCCCAAGGGCATTGTGTAGAAATGAATAATGTCCTCAGATTGCGTTGTATCCCATGTGTAGTGCTAATATAATATTGCATGCTTGGAATTTCTTTCATCAAGCCACTAGTTCCAGAAGTTGATTAGATAGTATTCCTAAATATGTGTAAATAGAAATAAATACTATTAAACACTACAATATAGCTTTCTTCTGAGTAGACTTCTATAGAATTGTACTGTCAGCCACAATATTTATACACTTTTAAAAAGTAAATTTAAAGAACTACAGCACTGCTCCACATTCAGATTTTCAATTTGAATTCCTGTTATTACTCTTGTTAAGTCACCAATCATCACAATGTAGTCTGATTCTGGTTTATAATGGCTTTGCCTTAAACTGTAGCTAATGGCTCCAGAATATTACTATAATAATGTTCAGGTGTGTTTTTCACTAGTATCACGAAAGCTGTCCACTTGAACAAATGCGCATCTCATTTCAGAAAATCTCCTTTCCATAAAACATACCTTTTGAGCTTTATAAAACTCATTAGAACAAATGTCATCAGCACATTGTTAGAAAAGCTTTCCACATCAGATTTCAGGCAGCCTGTCACCATATGAGAACTGGAAGAAGTATTTTTAGAGATTCTGAAACTTCAGGTCCCAGGTTACTTGGGAACACCACTGGATACATAATTCTAATTTATATCCATGTTTTGGTGTGTTTGAGTTTCTCCAATTTCAAGGTGTTTTGTGGCTGATTATCTCCAACTGAATGCCTGATCTGATACTTTCTGCAGAATCAATATGCCAGAGAGGAAATAACTTTTACTATTTATAATCCACCCCTAACACTACACTTACAGTATACACTACATATAAATTGTCAGTATATAACCACTACATCAGTTCATGAGATCATTTAGATCATGACATGTATTCTTTCTTTTTGATTAGATTATCTGGTTTATATCTTTATCTCCTTTGAAGAAAAAACGAAGTGCAAATAAAAACAAAGTAAGTATTTCTGTCATATATTGAAAGCCTGAATCTTACTGAGTTCTGATATATTTATCACATTTGGAAACTTCGAAATTAGTGGAGATAATGTATAGCTATTAATTAGGGATTTATAAACATGTTTTGGGGTCGATCTATGAGTGGTGTGTAAACTTGCTATATAAATAAAATAAATAAAATTAATATGGGATATTGACATAGAAAGAGACTACCTTTGGGATTTCTTTCATTTTTGGAGGGCAGGTGTTTTATAGCTTTCTAATGAATGTTCATATTTGTTCAAAAGATACTGCAAGTCCTCTGAAACCTTTGTGTGAGCTTGGGAAGGTTTTGGAAATAGTAGGCCATATTTTAATTAGTTGTACGCAAAACTTTTGCAGGTACAAACCACTCCATTTCTCATCAGAATGAGGATGTTTTCCCTCTCAGAATGCCCCTTTTAGCTTTATAGGAAGTGGTTTGCTCATTTTTTAGAAATACATTTTCTTGGACAAGAAGTGGTTCTGAACACATTCTGTCAAAACAGCCTATTTATTTCAGAAAAATACTAATAGCTGCACTGACGAGTTTTGTCCACCCATGATTTGAATGTGTAATTTCCAGCAAATAAGAATCAGTTTGATATAGTACTTAAGTCACCAGGCTCGAAACCAGGAGACTGGGAGTTGTAGTCCCATCTTGGCATGAAAGCCTATTGGGTGACTTTGGGCCAGTCGTTCTTCCTCAGCCCCAATTCACCTCCCAGAGTGGTTGCTGTGAGGAAAATAGGTAGAGGAAGGAGTATTGTATGTTCATTGCCTATTATAAAAATAATAAAGGTGGGATAAAATTTAATCTAATCTAATAAATAACTTTGTTGCTATTGTTGTCATCTTTAAAAAATCCACTGTAGGGTGAGAGACTCTTCGTTGAACATTATGGAGGTAACCCATTATGTTAATCAAAATGTAGTCTAACCACAGCAGCACAATAAGATAGCCTTTGAGTTTTTTTCTAAAAATTGTGGTGCAACAATTATCCATACTATCCCCCACAAAAATAGCTCAGACTAAACTAACTACAAAAGAGAGATATACCTTAGCAAACCACTGAGAGGCCATTTAGAGTTAGCAGTATAGGAATATGGTAAATAAATCAACAAAGCTAGTACAGGCCAGAAAATATCACAATATCAATGTACTGAAACTATTCAGAACTTAGTTCATTTGTTAGCTCAATCTGTCTACCAGTCAGTCTTGGGCACATTACTCTAGCCCCAATTTCTCTGTTATGCCAATTTCGCTCTCAGCTTGCCTTATTTAAATTGGGAAGGGACAATATGTAGACTTAAATATGCACTTGGATAATATTACAGAAATAATTATAACAATCACACCCCAAAATTATTTCCCTTTTTAATTCTCGTTACAACTTGTTTGATACTTAAAGCTTTAGACTATTAAGCTACTTTTTCTAGATATAGTTTAATGAGTTGTTAAATATTCAAATGATTATCTTTATTTTTGGTAGCTTTAGTGAATACATACTTAACTGAGGGAGAGAAAACTGGTTGAAATGAATTCCTTCACATTTCAAACATACCACTTCAGTTTATAACCCTGATGGTTGTGATCCATCCATATATATACTATCACTTTCAATTCTTGTTAACGTGCTTTTTTTAAAAAAAAACCCATCTGCTTATTATTTCTTACAGCACTGGTATATTTCCATAGAGCTTAAACTGAGCTGCTGTAATTAAATGTGAAAATGTGGGATACAATATTCTCAAAGTGATTGTTCATTTCAATAAACTGTACATCTCTAATTAGTAGCAGATGAAGATACGAGACCTCTAAAGCTTATGAACAACAGGCTCTCTGTTTGTAAACTACACAGCTTCCCCAAGCTGGTGCAGTGTTAAATGTTTTCTAAAAAGGAGGAGGAGGAGGAGGAGGAGGAGGAGGAGGTTAAAAAGATAGACTATCACCATTGAAGTCCCTTGACCACTGAATGGCAAGCTTAGTTTTCAGGACCTTTCCTGAAGTTCTGAAGGCTGAAAAATGACCTTTCTCATCACATGTCATGCTGTTCCTCCTTATTAATAAAGCAATACATTTGTGACAAATTCTCTCACAGATAGTGCTTTATTGGTGAATTCCAACACTGAATATAAATAGCTTTTTTCTTAAAATACTGACTGACCTAAAACCTTTAATGACCGCTTATATCTATTCTGGAATGGAGAATATTTCCAAGAGGGCATGGCAAGCATAGAGACTTACTACACTACATTGTTGTATGATATGTGATGCAAGCATAAACTATCCCATCCTATCTTTGTTAGTGGCCATCTTGAAGAACATGTTACTCTGTTGCAAGAATCCACACTATAGAGGATAATTGATGATGATATCAAGGCAATAATGTGTTCTATTTTACAAATAGTTTTAGTGTAACAAATAGCCACTTCTTTAAGTTTATTTATTTATTCAAAAGAAAACATAGGCACCTCATTTTATTACCTGGAAATCAGCTTAACCCAAAAGCTCAGATCCTTGACATCTGAAATGGCATATTTGGCAATGTTGGCAAATCCACAATAATACTTTTTAAAAACACTTTGCTGCTGTATATGAAGTCTGTGCTAAGTAAGGCTATTAGGCAAACTGTTGAGCATTCGCCAATTTTGCGCTGATTAAAAAAAACAACAACTTTAGACTCTAAAATTTCTGCTTTTCTTCCTATCATAATCAAGGCAAACACAGCACATTTAAACAAAGATAAATATTGTTCTCTTCTGCATGGTTTTTGAAACACTGCGTTTGGCTAAATTGTAAGACAAAGCTCAGCAGCAGGTAACATAGAATCTTTCTAGACAATTCTTAATGCACACAATAATGCTTTTTCTTCAGTGTGAAAAGGAATAAGTAAATCTGATTATTTTTTTTAACTTCCTAATAATTTGAATCAGTAGCTTCTGGGAAAGTGCCAGCCAGCCTTCATCCCTATCAGCATTAGGTAACTCTTTGGTTTTTTCAAAAGACATTTCACTGGACTTAGTGCAAATCTCTGGCAACTTTTCTGTTTCATAATAAACTTTGGGTTCAATCTTATAGAGCAGTGTTTCTCAACGTAAGCAACTTTTAAGATGTCTGGACTCCAACTCCCAGAATTCCCCTGCCAGTATGCAGTATGGAGGGTGAGTGGGCGGGGCTTGGTGATGAAGAATAACATGAGGCCCTCCTTAATTAAATGAGAACAATAAATATCAAGACAGATTGTATCACCAACCTGAGCCTTTGTAGATGTCCATGTTAGCAAGGCATGATAAGCAAAAAGGAGAGAAAACCATACATTCATTAGTTTGGTGCTTTAGGAGAATATTGAAAGATATTCAGCAAAGCTTTGTATACAACACTGAAGTCTCTATCACAAGGGATGTATTTAAATCCCGCTTTGCTCCATCTTTCTGCCCCAAGTCACATAGCTAGCTTCTGTGAGATTATACTGAATCTCTGTGAATCTCTACTAAATTTTATAAAGGTGAATTCTTAAAGGAGAATTTATTCATAAATGTCTCTAAAATGCTTGCTAATTAATGTTGGGAGTATGCCAGCACAAATTCTGCCCAATACCACAAAGAGGAGGATCTCTGTATCTTCCAAAAAGGAAATTTAGAACCTGCCTTATAGATGTACTTAAGAAAAAAAAAACCTACAGCTAACTTATTTGGGATCTGAAAATTTTGCAGATCTGAATTATTGTTGTAGCAATATGCAACAGTAACTTTTTTATTTTACATAAATGCTATTGAACATAATAGGGAGACATTTTAATTGCTTAGATGGGGCTCATAGTAGAAAACTTATCCAACAGTTTTCCCAAACTCTGTTTTTGCTGCCGGTTTCTAGATGTGTCTTAATAGTGCCCCAAAATCTCTTGAACACATCTTGAATGAGGATATCACTGTGCTGCAAAGCGTATACTTTCCTTACAATAAAAGGACTTTGAAGAGCCAGAGGTTTTGAAAGAACATGACTACTGAAGTAGATAAAGCAAACAATTGAAAAGAACCTAAAAGTGGATGTCCCTGAAAGAGAGAAAAAAAAATCACTTTAGATATACAGTAATGGGGAAAGAGAAGTAAGGAGAGAGAGATGAAAAGTAGAGAGAGAATTCTAAGGTTCATGAAACAAAATAGTGAGGCATGAAGAAGAGGAATGAGATGAAGGAAAGGAGAAAAGAAACAGCATGCTAAAGGGAGAAAAAAAAGGGGCTGACAACTTTTAAGTTAAAACTGCTGAAGGACAACTGCTGAAAAGAAATACAAGTTTAATTTTAAGGTAGTGCTATTAGAGGAAAGAAAGCACCAACTAAAAGGGAAAATCAATATATAAATACTCAGCATCTAAGCCTTCCAAAGCTTAAAAATGCATGGTTTTCATAAACTGCTGATCTATCTATCTATCTATCTATCTATCTATCTATCTATCTATCTATCTATCCATCCATCCATCCATCCATCCATCTGTCTCTATATCTATATCCTCATTCAAGATACACACACACACACACACACACACACACACACACACACACACAATATCCTGACACTCCTCACTTTGAGGCTTGCATCTGAGTATTGTAGTTCAGTACTATCTTGAGGGCTGCATGTTAGCTACCTAAGACCCACGTCCATGGATTTTTTAAGAGCATTACTTGTACCTGGATATGCTATATATGCAATATATAACATGACAGAAGAAGGGCATTCTGAACTATTTTATTTTAAACTACTACAGTGAAAGGAGTGCAGAAGTGTCTGGGACCTAACTACTCTGTTCTAGTCATTCTAACATATTAAACCACATCAAGTATCTTATGTTCTAAATGATCACCTGATTTTAAGAGATTGCTAAAAATTCAAAAGCATTTTAATTCCAATATGCTAACTGTGATCCTCTGGGTATGTAATACACCACTTTGGTACATCCTTAAAGATATGTAAAAATGACCAGCTATTGAGGGGATTTCTGGGGAAGCAATGGTGGGCTGAAGTTGGCTCCGCAGAGAGCGGAGCCAACAACTGTGCAGAATGAGCAAATGACTCCTTGGAATTCCTCTCAGGAATAAGGAGAGAACCTGGGATTGCCCAAAAGCACTCCACCCAGTGGCTCAATATGCCAAGACATTAAAATTATGTTGAAAGCAAATAAAGATTATACAGGATGAAGTGACCTGCCTACAGAACCTCATTGAAATAGGATATTATTTTTAGGCATTCTATAAAATGTTTGGCAAATTGAATGTATACTAATCCTTATAGAGAAATATACTGTATACATGAAAATTTCTCCACTGCCAGAGTTCTAGCTACACTGTCCCACTATGTAGGCTTTCATTTCTATTTAGAACAAATACTTAATCCTTTTTAAAATCTGCAGCAAGGGACCATATTTTACATCTCTCTTGGAAAAGTAAGAAGATAGTGATTTTTCCAGATCATCTTCCATATATGGTTCAGAAATGCTTACTGTTTAATAAAAATTATTTGAAACTGAAACAAAAAGGGATTAAGCACTTTTTCCCTTTCTTTTTTTTTTTTTTACCTTTTTTTGTTCTTTATAATCAAACAAATTTTTGGATCCTCAGCCACAGGGGGAAAAAACTGATTATGCAACATTTGAAGGAAAAATCTCTCTCTCGCTCTCTCTCTCTCTCTCTCCCACACACACACACACACACACACACATTCATTCATTCATTCTTATAATTTTCATGGGAGATAGACTGCCTTGACTTGGAGAAAAGTACTTGTCCTGTATTTTCAGTATGATCCTTTCAGCAATCTAAAGACGACAAATCTATATTTATTGACTTCTGGAGAACATCTTTTTATTTCTTGCAATTTTGAATAAGGTAGAAATAAAACCAAGAAAAGATCCAAACTAATACTGCTAAGATTCCTATTTTTATGCTAAAAGCTTCCTTTTCAGCTGTAGGGTTAGTGAGAGAAGTAAAAAAGCAAAAGCAAAAAAGACCATAGCAATCCAGTTTGAAATTGCTGCCCCAAAAAATCAGCTCAGGAGCTGAACTCGAACTTAGATATGTGGAATGTTCCCACGTGTTCTGTTGCCAGGCCCATGCTGCAATTTGGACATCCTTTAATTGCCCCCCCCCCCGCATGCTCTACTAATTCCACTACCCTGATTATAGTGGGCAAGAGAGCAAGACTTGGGTAAGGAAAGGGCGACTCCCATTTGTGTGCCCTCTTCCCAAGCCCAATTTGCACTGCTATGAACTCATCTCAAAGCAGCACTGGTTTCTTAATTGTGGACTCTTAGCAACTGTCCTTTGCATCTTTCTACAGACATTAGTTCCCCTGGAATGCTTACTGAGATTTCAATGAGAATCAAGCAGGCCTTAATACTAGGAGATCTTTTTTCTTTCTCAACTTCTTCCTTATCAACTCCAGGCAATAAGACAAACAACCTCCATAAAGCCTTACCAACTAAATCAGAATAACAAAATTATATTGAGTAATGTTATTTTATTGTATTTTCATCATGTGCTGATGCAGTCCTGGAAAGAGATCTCTCTCTTTTTTTAATCTTGTTGCCATGGAAACTTTATATTCATCAAATATCTTGATAGAGGGGGTATCACGGACATTAAGTTAGTCAAAACCAATTTTTATAAGCCAATTACTTTGAGTCTGTGAGCATAAATAAGATGAAGATGAGAAAACAAGAGCACCGAGCCAATTGGCCATTTATCATGATGCTGAGAAATACTCCCCCACCCCAAGAAACTAATGTGGAGCTTAAGATGCTGCTTTGCAATCATCTGGAAGAACTAGTTTGTTTCTAATCTCACCTACCTTAAAATGAGAAATTTTAGATGGAAAGAAAACAGATACTGAAATGGATTATATGAGGGTTTAGGGTGGGGCTTTATGTTATGGATTTTTAATGTTGTAAGCTGCTGGGATCACCCATGTGTGAGTTGGCCGGTCATATAAATTAGACAGACAGACAGACAGACAGACAGACAGACAGAGGTAGGTAGGTAGGTAGGTAGGTAGGTAGGTAGGTAGGTAGGTAGATAGATAGATAGATAGATAGATAGATAGATAGATAGATAAGACAGAGAACAAAAAAACGGCAAAGCCGTCCTCCCATACATAAAAGGCACCATAGACAGAATCAGCATGTGTTTGTTGAGGATCAACAAACACAACATCAAGACAGCATTCTGCACAAACAGAAAAATAGCCACCATCCTAAGAAACCCCAAAGACAAAATTGAGTTTGAAAATCAAGGAGTATATGAAATCCCATGCACAGCTTGTCCCACCACATACATCGGACAAACCAACAGAAGAATAAGTGCACGCATTGAAGAACATAAGAACTTAGTTAAAAAAGAGGAACAAACTTCTTCCCTGGTCCAACACCTTAAAGCCACAGGACATGAAATTGACTTTAAAAAGACCAGAACTATTGCCAAAACTATCACCAAAACACTTTAATAACAGAATAATCAGAGAAGCCATCGAGATAGAAAAATGCCCACACAGCATGAATAAACGAGATGATACCTCCCGCCTACCAGCCATTTGGAAACCCACCCTTATTGACAAACGAGTCCCTAACACAAAGAATGACACCAGACCCACACTCACGAAAACCACGGATGTCACCACCACACATCCACACAAAAAGCAAACCCAAACCCAGATCGATGATGAGGCAGGAGCCAGACCACAGCTGCATCATTAGCCACTTTAAACCCCTCCAATCCATACATGAAGCAAACTGACACCCACCATGAAGATGAGGCACGACCATGAACGCAAAGCCAAACAACAGCCATACAGCTCATCATCTCAAATCCCCCTGCAACTCAGACTAACCCGAGCACAACAAAGCCCCCACCCAAACAGAACACTCCCCCATCCAATCAGAGCACAGCCAACCCCCATCCAATCAGAGCACAGCCAAGCCCCTAACCAATCAGAACACACCTCCACCCAATCAGAACACAGCCAAGCTCCCATCCAATCAGTTCATACCCCCACTAGCAGTTAAAAGGAAGAAACAGCTATGATCACACATTGCTCCTAGAAGCAAGAAGCCGAAAACACCAGCCTGAAGATGACGAATGGGACTTCGTCAAAACGTCGCCAAAACACTTCCAATTTGACACAGGAGAAAACCCGAATAACCAAAGATCTACATAGATAGATAGATAGATAGATAGATAGATAGATAGATAGATAGATAGATAGATAGATT